CACCTTCAGCCCCTATTTAGTTTTGCCTGCTTCAAAAGAAAAGGCTAAATAACAAACTTAAGGAAAGACTCAATTTAGGTCTTTCACAGCAAGATATCTTCTGCAAAACATTCATTTATTAGTTATACAGTTTACGGTAACACTGATTCAAACACTTAACTCTGAAAGTACTTTGCAATAGCTGTTGTCTTTTTTTTTTAGAAAAGCTTTTATTTTTGTTTTCTTTATCTCATCAGTTCAATTTTTAGGTCTTTTTTCCCCTCTTATTGGCATTATCATGTTACTGAAATCTCCTCAGAAATCCCTCTAACAAAATTTCTTTTGAATTCTTCTTTCAAGATGCATCTAGAAGTTAACAAATATCTTAAAAGTAAATATCGCTGTGACTAAGAACTAGAGTGTCAAAAATATCCAAAATGTTAAAATATTGACCACAGTTATTTTAAATCTCAGATAATTTGTACTCTATTGAATGATTCCTAATTAGTGTCTTATTTACATCAATTACCCTCCAATTAGCCCTTTGAAAAGGCCCAGCTTTCAGTGAGGTACGTTTAACTTGCTTAAAATAATGATCACGTTGTACAGAGTCACATCTCTCTCACAAGGTTACTGTGCTTCACTTGAGAAAACAGGCCAGTGGATATCTTGTTTCTAAGGTACTTCAAATTCAGAATTTCTGTAGATTGGCACACTTAAAAATTAACTCAGAGATTTTACTGGTTAAAAACATATATATACATAAATATTAGTTCACAGATTTTCAATCTAAGGGTTCATAAAATGAATGACTAAGGATGCTTCAAGGAACAATATGCGACAGGGATTCTGATGGTATTTTTTGGCAGGTGTCACTTTGCAGAAATGTTTTGAAAGTGCTGAAGAAAAGTTTATCGACTTCATCATGAGGAAAGACAACATGGACCAAAAAAGAGAATGGTCCTAGAAATCGTGAACTAAATAAACTGATTTAATATATCCATCAAAAACCCTCAGTCCTACACCAGTAGAAATGCCTTCATTTTATGCCCTCGTTACCTTGTTTGTGTTCATTTTACAAGTGTTTTATTCAAATGTACCATAGGTTTAGGTGTCTGACCAGTTAACTGGTTTTTCAATGAAAATTGGAAACATTGTAAATTTTAACTAGTTTTGGTGCCAGTCTGATTTGAAGTTGCTAAATTTCAAGTCACAGTGTTGGTTGATCCAACATAATGCATTCATCGACCATTCTTACTGGTTTGGAAGTGTTTCTCATGGTATGATTAAAGTGGTTATATGCAAATATAATATATAAATATAATATACAGATATAGGTGAGTCAACACTTAAAGTAGTACTTTTTTTCTAACATGGGTAAGTAATCTTCCTAGTAATTGCAGCATAGCTTAAATAGAGAGAAAAAAAGAGGAAAAATAGCAATGGGTCTGGTATCAGTGAAATAGAAATACACTTCTGCTCCATTATACAGCTATTTAGATAAGAAAAGATCTTATTCAACTCTGCTAGTGTTTTGCAATTTTAAATGTAGACATTTAATAGATATAAAGTATGACCTTCCATACTAAATATAATTCTTTCCAAACAAAAACTGTAAGTACAATGTCAAATGACATTTCTAGATATAAAATAGCAATAGTTTGCTACAGAAAAACACTTTAGTATTAACTAAGCACACAATGCAGAAGATCAACAGACGTAAGTAAAGCCATCACAGAAGTAACATTACGCAAATCATGAAACCTGTATTTTTAAACAGCTATTCCCCATCTGTTTCTCTGGGTAACAGAAAGATATGATATCATCACATAAGACGTAAGTAAGAATCACTCCAAGATCAGTCAAGATTTAGGCCATTACCAAATGTTAATCATCTTTGGGAAAATGGAAATATGTGATAGCTCTATTAGTAGGAATAATGAAAAAAAGAAAAGATAGATAGTTAAATGCTAGTAGAAAATTCCATCAATATTCTACAGCAAAGGCTTCAATGAGCATTCACTATGAATAAAATGTACCCCTATCTCTCTGCAAAAAGGCTGATAAATTTGACTTGGTATTCGCAGCTCTGCAGGAATACAACTTATTCTTTAATTGGTTCAGACTTTAATTCAGACTTCAAAGTAACAAAAGCATTTCCTCTGTAACTTATTTGTAACTATTTGGGCTTACTGAATTCATAAAATCTAAAGAAAATGGCCTCTCTGTTGTCTGGATCCAATTTCTCCTCTAATCTAATATATACATTTTAAGAGGATGTGTAAGACCTCCCCTCTACAGCATAATGGGGCAGAAGATGCTTCTTTCTTGGTAACTTCCACACCTGGTGTTAATCCCTTGTAATAAATACTCCAGTCACACAGGAGGTCTCAGTTTCTGCATTCAGATTATTCAGACCATTTCTTACAAGTTGCAACAACCAGAAACATTAATTTTACATTTTACAGCCATAAATGTTGTACTTACTTTTATTTGGCTTTTCAGAGATTCATGAAGGAGAAAACCTACTTGTGCAATAGCTTGCTTCACATCAGTAATAACACAAACTTGTTGTGATAGGTTGTCTGTGATGAAGAAAAAAACCCTTAGTATTTCATGCAAAGATAAATCAATCAAAATTACTAATCTGCTAAACATTACCTTCAATTCTTATACTGCTGTCTCTTGACAGAACCCTTTCAACAGCTGTAAATTTAATTCTAAGATGACTTCTTTCAAGGCACAGTTAATATAACTACATAATTTATGTACCATACATCTCAAATTTAAAATTTGTATTATATAAGATTCTGTACAATGTGAAAACATCACATAAAGCCTTGTCTCCAAAGCCCATTTAAATAAGGGACTTCTATGAAAAGGTATTTGTTCAAGTCCACATTACTAACACCAGATGACAACCAAGAAAACTTTTTGAAGACTTCATACCAGTTACCACTTAAACAGATCACTAAATGCAGTGTCAGCAATACCAAGAAAAGCAAAAAAACTCCGGAGACAGCATAAATTATCTTCTCAACAATATATACTACCTAATAGTAAAAAAAAGTTTTGAAGATACTGTTCTGGGAGACGGCAGATATAATTGTTCACCTCAATATCAAAAAACTTGCAGTCAGTGACAAAGATCTTGGCATGAGGAACTTCTTAGCTCTTTTACTGGTGAGGGAAAAAAAATAGTATTTTGTTGATACCAAGAACAATAGTTTCAAGTTATTGCCTGATCAGCTCCATTAATCAAATATTTCAGAAAATTAGCATTTTCTGTTGATACTGACTACAGTTTCAAGATTCAGTGAGAGTTTTCTTTTCTTTAAGCAAATGAATCAAAATAATCCAAGTCTGGAACTTCTAATTAAGGATTTTATCCTTTAGATATTGAACTAATATGCAGGTCAAAACATAAGATTTCCGAAGTCTTTGAGGTAGCCATTCCATAAGCAGCTAGACATTTCATACATGTAAAGTCTAATTATGTTTAAAGCAGACTTCAATGAAACTTCAGGGACAGAAATATACCAACCATTATCACAAAATAAATTAGTAGCAAATGACAAAAGAAATTACAAAAATATGGCCCAACTGCTCTTCAAACAATTCTGAATATAAAGATACATATTTGTTGCATGTGGAAAGTTTTTTTTATAATTATATACCACACAGTAAGTTCAGTCAGATGCATTACTTAAGTAAACATCTCACTTTCTTTTGTAAACTCAAAGAACTCTTTACAAAAATAAACATATAGACCTGAAAATTAATTTTAGAGCTGCTGCAGAGTTAACATTATTGGAAAGTGATTTGTGATTTTTAAACAATTTTTTGTGAACAGGAAAAGTGAATTAACCACTCAGGATCCCAAAAGATAATTACAATCATTTTATGAATCCTGGGCATTTATTATGTCCAATATTTATAACGTGACAACAAAAATAGTGGTAGCAACTGGCTTTGTATTAAGTTAGCAAGAATGGGGAGGGGGGAAGAAAGACAGAACAATAAACATCTGCTTATAAACCATCACAACCGGATGAAAGCAAGAATTAAAAAAATGCATGGCCAGTTCTCACAGGATTGGAAATCACAGAATACCACAACTGTGGGAGAAATTATCTTCCCATAGATTCACTAGGCAAAAAAATACACTGAACATGCATCAAAGTTGGCTTCCACTTAATAAAGAATAACTTGACAGTCTAAAAAACCGGTTAATAGGAAACCATATTGAATTAATTTCTTATCAGCAGAAAGAAACTAGTGGGTAGACTGAAATCAGAGAGCAAGAGCCACTTGAATTTAGTACTGTAGACGGAATGCAGATACACGATAGATGTACATAATAAACCACACTGGCATATCAGATTTCATGAACTGAGATTCTATGGAACTAAGTAATTTAATGAGGAAGGTCAGATTGGAGCTATTACAAAATCCACATGTGGAAGGCGTCTGTGGAATCCAAAAAGGCACCATAACTTAAGCTCAGACAGTTCTTTTAAAAAAAGTAGTCAGTTATCAACATTGTCAAAAGCAATCTCACAAGAGGCTGCTCAAAGACTGCAACTATAAAAGCTCACCTCACTTCTCTCCCCAGCCCCCTTAAACCTCTAACTTCCTGTCATGTAAATGAAAAAGGAGAGAAGACTACCAAACAAAGCGATTAAGAGTCGCAGGTTAAATTTAATACAGAAGAACGCAAAATTGAATGGAGTGTGAAAAAATGGATGAATGGATTTTTCTAATCTGGAGGAGGAATGTAATGTTATAGGGAGAAAATCTATTAATAAAGTATGAAAAAACTAAAGTAATTCTAATACACACACTGAAAAGATGTTGCACACTTTTAAATGATCAAGAAAAATTAATAAAGGAAGCCCAGCAAATTATCATTTATAAAATCATTACAGCAAAGCAACAGTTCTGTTCTAGTTGAAGTTTAAAACTCAATTTAAATACCAACTTTTTCAAGTGGCCAAAAAGATCTATATCTTGACTTTGACAATGCGCACCTTTCCTGTATTGTGGGAAAGAAGGCTGAGTGGATCCTTCCTCCCTGAGACTGTCTCTGTCCCACCTCTAATAACCTGATGGATCTCTCTGTCACTCAGCACAGTCACACTGAATATAGTGAGCACAGCTGGAGCGCTGGCTTGTAACTCCAGAGATTTCATGAGTTCTGTTGACTGCTGTAAAGCTAACGCTGTGTGGCACTTCATTCCTGGTTTTCTGAAGTATGTTTGGGTGAACCAAACAGTTGTTCTGGAAAACCATGTCATGGCCACGTCACAAAAAATTTTAATACTCAGCTAACAAAATTTTGTTTTTCATTAGACCACTGGATAATTCAGGCCGGAAGGGACCTCTGGAGGTCTCTAGTCCAAACTCCTGCCCCCAAAGCAGGATCACCGAGGAGGTCAGGCCTGGTCACTTATCCCATTAACCCCTGGCTCTTGAAAACCTTTGAGGGTGGAGACCACACAACCCCTCCAGGCAACCTGTTCACTGCTTGACTGTCCTCATGGTGAAAGAGTTTTTCCTTTTATTGAGTTGGAACTTCCCTTGGTTCAGTTTTAGCTTGTTGCCTCCTGTCCTCCCTCCATGCACTACTATTCTACTTTTCTTCCCTGCTTTCACAGTATGCCTTTCCTTTTCATCTGTCCAACCTTTTAATTTTTTTTCCCTTTCACATTACATTACCTATGAAAATATCTCTTGCTTTGGTTTCTTCTTCCTCTACTTACTTTAAACTTATTATTTCCCTGGAAACCTCCTCTACCTAATGCACATGTCTCATTTACTCTCAGCTTCTTCCCAGCTGTACCTGATTATGGAGTACTCCTCCCCATACTGCATCACATTAACATATGCTCAGAGCATCTTTTCTGCATAAAATCAAAAATAGTTAAAATTTTACACTAACAAATTCTGTTAGGTTAAACATTAAATTTCTCTGTCAAGAAAGGAGTAGGAATTTTATTCATGAAAGATAAATTGGATACAGGATTTCAGGATTTGTTTCATTAAACCTCCTTCTCTCTTCAGCAGAAAAATTAATTTTCAATTTTTCTGTGCCCTTCCTCGATATCCTGAAAGCTTCAGATCACACTATTACTCAGTAACACCGGTTACAATCTTTATTCTAGGATCTCACCCAAAATTGTAAATTAAAATGTGTGCATGTTTGTGGAACTACCTTAGTTAGATAATGTATTAAGTGTACGCTAATGACTGACTTAAAAGTTTACCCTGAAAAGCAGGCCACAAACAAGCAGCAATTAAAGTAATACTTTGCTTGAATAGAGATCATAAATACCATATCCTAGTGAATTAATACTAGAAGAATAAAAAAAGTATCTGAATGATAAATACGTTTTGGCCTACAGACATAATTTTTTCTCTTAATTGCACATATACGTATATACATAGACTTGTTTTTGTAAACATCCGTTCATACCATGTCATTCTTGGTCTGTCATTACAATTCCTACAAGCATTGTAGGAAGCACAGTCTATTCAAAGTACTTTTGAAGTTTACACTGAATTCAAAATAGTAAATTGATTTATTGGAATTTCATTTTCATTTTCTATACAGCAATGGCTTGACTGCTCTGAAAATTCAGTATGGTTCTCCCTGGTTTTTTTAGTATCTCATAACGGAGATGTTTCTCTCACTGTAAACACAGGAAAAATGAAATAAGTACTGCCAAGCATTTACTTCATTCATGCTCAACAGAATGTATTAAAATTGTTATTCATGTAACATATGTAACAATTTTTTATTTGTTCCACATTTCTCTGTAGCCACAAAAACCAAAAGCTAAATTTTACACTGTCCCATCAACATTAGCATACAAGAGATGAAGATTTTGTGGCAGAAGACAAGGACGAGAGTTGCTTTCACCCGACAATAACTATTTGGAGGAGTACTTCCCCACCTGCCAGTCTCTTTCTTTGCCTCACAGCAGAGAACAGCTACTGGTTAATGAGCATGCCCATGAAACTACAGCTTACCTCAAGTAAGGTATCTGTCTGGTCTTTGATACACAAGGATTATGGGGTTTTTTTTAAATAAAATGTCACATGAGTTCTTCATATAACACAAAACATAGTATGTAGCTCCCAACAGTCAAAAACCATTTGAAGGCATTAAGATATTTTTCTCAGCACTTGCAAAACATAGTTGTATCTACATCAACAAACACTTAGCCAAGTGCGAGGGCAAAATATCCAATCTGCAAGTGCATGCTCTTGCGATAAGGTTATTGCAGAAGGGCCCTCAAGAAAAGAAAAAGGAGGAGGAGAAAGAGTCAAACTCTAAGTTACAAAGTTCTACCGAGAAACACCATTTAGTTTACGTGTTGGAACTAGAGTTCAAAGATACCTGCCCCGAGGGCAGTAGTCCTAATGGAAATTTCTTAGGATGTTTTGTATTAGCCTGATCTTAACTACATTTCTAGATGAGTCACTCTTATTGTAAGATGATGTTTTCTTACTTCAAGACTATTAAAAATAGGTGTGTGCCACCTTGCCTGCATACTCTACAAGTTCATACCTGCTTAACTCA